GAGAGCTGGAACCCCACCCGCCCCGCGGCGCAGGGACCTCTGTCTCCGGAGCGCACGCCGGCCGGGGAACACAGAGCATTCACATGGGACCACCGGGAGCCACACACGCGGCCCCTGGAGCCTCGCGGGGGTAGCCGGGCCGGGAGAGGCTGGCCCTGCTCCTCTCCAGCGCCTGCATGGCCCTCGCCAGCCAGAGCAAGGCTGCAGGTCTGGGGTCCCGGCTCACCCGCCCAGGTTCCCTTCCAGGGGGACAGCCTGCAACCCAGTCTCCATCTCCCACCTCCCTGCGTCCCCCCCTCCCTCCTCGGGTTCCCCCCCCTGAGCCCTGCCCAGCCCACGGGCCCCGCCACATATACCATGTGGAGCGGCTGCCCCAGGCCCCTCCTGCCTCTCCGAGCCCTAAGGGGTGAGAAAGGCAGTGCCCCCTCCTGAGACACTGTGACATGGAATCTCCTCCACCCAGATTCTCCTCCTCAGCACAGTACCCTACAGCCACCCCACCCCACCCCACCCCTCACCCTCACCCTGCCGGGATAGTCCTGCCCGTTCGTTCTTGAGCTGGAGAAAGGGCCCATCTTTTGACCCTGGGATGGTATTTGTAAGGAAGTAAATAAAGAGTTGGTCAGCCCTGGCAGGTGTGGCTCAGTGGATAGAGCGCTGGCCTGCAGACGGAAAGGTCCCCAGTTTGATTCTGGTCAAGGGCACATGCCCAGCTGGCGGGCTCCCTCCCCGATGAGGGCGCGCAGGAGGCAGCTGATCCATGCTTCTCTCTCATCACTGATGTTCTCTCTCCCTCTCCCTTCCTCTCTGAAATGGATTAAAAAAATATTTTAAAAAATTAAAAGAAAAAGAGTTGGGCAAAGAATTTCGCTCTGAGCTTTGATGACATCACCGGTGCCCCATGGGGCTCCTGGGAGGACGAGTGAGGTCACCCCTGTGTGTGACCTCGGGGAGGCACCTCCCTCTGACCCCCCGCGCTCTCAGCCGGAAGACACACAGGTGAACACTCGCCCTGCACAGCGGCGGCAGGAAGCGGGGAGAATTCACGGAAGGCCTAGGAGCGGCTGCCCTAGGAAACGCGTCCACATCGGCGGTGACGGTTGTGGCGGCCGCTGCCGTTTCTATTCTGAGTCGCTGTGATGCTCTGACGCGGGGGCGGTGCGGCCTATGTTGGGCAAACAGACCTGGAGCCAGATCCCCCAGCGGACGTCCCGTTCCCGGCCGGCGCCGTGTGCCCGTGTGCGGGAGCCGCACCCCCTCCACCGCAGGTTCGGGGGACTGTGGAGAGGGCTTTAGTCAGAGCTGCCATGCTGTTTGCTGTCAGTCGTAGCAGTGGCTCGGCGTTTGTGTTGTTGTTGTTGTTATTATTATTATTGTTAACAACCAGATTCCGGGAAGGCCTTTACCTGGGTCCCGCTGAGGAGAGCTACAATCCAACACACGCCCCATCCCATGAGTGGTTCGGCGCCTCGAAAGCTGTGTGACCTTGGGCAGCCTGCCTGCCCTCTCTGAGCCTGCTTCTACGTGTCCATACCACGTGAGCTACCACAGTCAGTGCCTCTCCTGCACGTCCAGGCTGTCAGGCCTCGGCGAGGCGCGATGGCCCGTGGGAAGCTGCTAGCTCCTGGCTCACGCGGCCCTGGGCCCAGGCCCTGCCTAATCCAGCTCCCGCCCCGCCCCGCCCCGCCCCTGCCCCCGGGCGGCGGGGAGCGCCGGATTCCCTCCCGCTGGCGCGAGCGGCCCTGCCAGGCTCTATTCTGGGGGCCCCGGCGATCCTGCCGCCGTGCCCAGCTTCCCCGGCTCAGGTTTCTGCTGACGCGATGCCAGGCACGTCTGCTTCCAGGAACCGGCAGCCGCATTTAGCCGCGGGCCGCACATGAAAGGCTGCAGTCGGAAACGTGAAGTTGTGTCAACAGGCGAGGCAGGTCAGCGCCGGGTGAGACCATCCCGGCGGGCGGAGAGCACGCCCTGTCTGAACGCGGCGGAGCCCAGCCTGCGCCCCCCACTGCCTCCCCCGCCCCCCGCCTCTCCCGGCCCCAAACCAGGCTTCACCCCCTCACACGCACACACCCCTTTGCAAACAGAGGTCCTCTTTGTCCCCGGCTCCCTCGGAGCCGCTTGGAACCCGCTGGGCTGGGCTGGGCTGGGCTGGAGGAAGGTCAGGGCAAACAGAAGCAGGAGGCGGCCGAGGCCCACAGCTGCCACCTCAGGGCCGTGGGGCGGGCAGGAGGGGGGCTGACTATGTGTTGAACCCGCAGAACTCTTTGTAACGCAGGGCGCTCCAACCACTTCCTGCTGTCCCCGCGGCGAGCCCTGAGTCACGGCCCGGAGAGGGGGCACGCAGGACGCGCTTGGCCTCGGTCTCCACCCTGAGCTCCGTCCCCAGGATCAGCCTGACTGGTTCAGGTCTTAACCTGAAAACACAAAAAAGTCTGGCGATTGATTCTCAGAGGAACTCCCGGGCCTCTCAGGCCCCCGGGCGGGGGGGAGGAGGGGGGGGGGGAGAAGGGGGAGGGGGAGGGGGGGGGGGAGGAGGGGGAAGGGGAAGAGGAGGAGGAGGGGGAGGAGGAGGAGGGGGAGGAGGGGGAAGGGGAAGAGGAGGAGGAGGGGGAGGAGGAGGAGGGGGAGGAGGGGGAAGGGGAAGAGGAGGAGGAGGGGGAGGAGGAGGAGGGGGGAGGGGGGGAGGAGGAGGAGGGGAAGGAGGAGGGGGGGAGGGGGGGAGGAGGAGGAGGGGGAGGAGGAGGAGGAGGAGGAGGAGGAGGAGGGGGCGAGGGGGGGAGGAGGAGGAGGAGGAGGAGGAGGAGAGGGAGGGGGAGGGGGAGGAGGGCTGACAGTTCACCCTGTGTCTGCTACCCGACACCCAGAGTCCTCACGCTGCTGGTCCAAGGCAGGCACGTGGCCGCAGGCATGACAGACCCGCCGCTCACCCGCCTCCCGGCCGGGCTCCTGGGAGGGCTCCGGGCTGCCGGGACCCGTGCCCGCTCACGGCGCCCGCCGGCGCACAGGAGGCAGGAGGGGACACTGGAGCCAGCACTCAGGGTGGCAGGGGTGCCTTTGCCTGGCTGACTGCTACCCAGGGGCAGCGGGGTCCCTGCCCGGCACCCAGACGAGGCAGGGCTGGAGGGCGGGGCGGGGCGGGAGCGTGGCCAGCCCGCACTGGCACCCGGAGGCCTCCGGGAGGGTGACGGCTGGGCCACGGAGAGCGGACCGGCCCCTTCCCACCGCTTTCCCATGGAACCTTTTCCTTTTCAAGAGCGCTGGCCGGAGGAACAGCCACCTCACTCCCGCACACACACACTCCTGGAGGGGAAGCGCAGGAAGGATGCAGGCGATAATGATGGGATGTTGCCTTCGGCTGCAACAGACAGGATGTGGCGAATCCATCAGACCTCTCCGGACTCGGAACACTCGGCGGCCCGGCTGCCCCAGCGTCGTGACCGCGGCGCACACCGTCCGAGCCTTTCCGCACGCCGCCCCCGCCCCCCGCCCCGGCACCGAGGCCCGGGCCACGCCTGGCTCTCCTGCCAGGTCCTAAGGCCGGGGGCGGGCGTGGGGTGGTCCATGTCCTTTCCTTTAACCGAGGGAGGCAGTCCATGGTGACTCTAAACCTCTAGCAAAAGTTAAAAACAAAACAAAAAACACCCCACCAAACTTCAGCCGATATTTGCCTACGACGTGGACCAGGCTCCTTCTGGCTGGAGACGGGGCTGGGGGCACCGGAGGGCAGGGCGCCGCCCTCGGACCCGGGGCAGCCACGCTCACCCCCAAGACCTCCTAAGAAACGCACGACACCGTTCCCTTCCGCGGGAGAGCGTGGTTTTATTCACTCCTTTACAACAGCCACGCAACGGCGACGCGCCGGTGAAAGTATGTACAGCCTCACACCTCACACCTTCCGGAAGGCTCCAGAGCATGAACACGGTCCCGCGGCCCGGAGCGGGACACGGGCCCCCGCCTCGGAGACGGGGGTACATTCATTGTCCTCGCGCGCAAGTCAAGTAGTTTTACAAACAAACCCCTGAAAGTCTCCTCGTCAATAGTTACAGAATATATATATATATATATATATATATATATATATATATAGATAGATAACCGCTTTACAAATCAAGGCAACGACTCGATACCAAAATAAAAACAGGGAAGGGAGGGGTCAGAACACGGCCGGTGGCCAAGCGTCTGGGCGATGCGGCTGGTGCGGGCCTGGTGGGCGCGTCCAGGGCGGGAGATGTGCCTGGTGGGGGGTGGGGCGGGGGCTGGTAGTGGTGGTGGGGGCATCAGGCTAGGAAAGGCTCTTGTTAAAGGCTCAGGCAGGCCTTCAGGAAGCGAAGCTTGGTTACAAGGAGCTCTAGGCCAGAACCGAACCCGAGTCTGGCCGGTGGGAGGCAGCGGTGTGTGCCGCAGCCCGGCGCACTGCGGGGCGCGGGGGCCGTGGGCGTCGGCATTGCAGGCCCTGGGCGGTTCCCTGGACAGCGAGGCCTGGAACAGGTGCCAGAGGCCCCCGGGGACCGCGCCCGCACCCTTGGCGGCTGGGCCTGTCCGGGCCCTTTCAGTTCCTCAGCCCGCCCCTCGCCCCAGCAGCCGGGGTGGGGGTGGGGGCTGTGTTCTCCGTGCTGTGCAGGCGGGCTGGAGCACGGAGACCACTACCGTGAGAGCCCCTGGCCATCAGCGGGAAGCTGGCCCGGCCGCCCTCTCCCTGAGTCACGCCGGGGAGCAGGGAGGCGGGCGGGGCTGGGAACCGGCCTCAGGAAGCCCTCCTTTGAAAGTACCTTCTTCTGAAAGCCACAGGCCAATCCCAGCGAGGACTGACTCACAGGCCGGCCTCGGAGGCTCTGGAAGCCCAGCTGCCCGGCTGCTGCAGGCTTCTCCCCGGGTGGGGACGATCCCCAAGGTCCTGTTACCCCCGAGTCTCCGGCGGCAGGCCGTCCTTCATGGCGCCCCACAGGGGCCCACCCCCACCCCCGGCTCTTCTCCCTGCCCACACACACTTGTTTTTTTTCTTTTTGAAAGGGGGGGGGGGTGAGACGCGAAGCGGCAGGGCCCCCCCGGCGTTCAGTCTTTGGTTTCCAGGTGCAAAGGGGGGATCTGCTTCAGGGCCTGGAGCAGGGCGGACGAGTCGAGGGCCGGGTGGGGCGGCAGCGGGGAAGGGAGTCTCTGGGGCAGAAGCAAGGGGCCCGCGAGCTTGTCCGGGTTCACGAAGCTGGAGAGGGCGGCGGCGGAGGCGCTGAGGCCGGGGTACAGCAGGGGCACGGACGTGGGGTACCAGCACTTCTCCAGCATGGGCAGGTAGGCGGTGGCCGAGGGCGGGATCAGGTAGAAGGGCAGGCACAGGGGGGGGCTGGTGCGGGTGCGGGCCCCCCAGGAACGGGGCGCCCAGCAGGTCGCTGCCGGGGAAGGGGCCTTCGTCGTCCGAGAGCTGCAGCCGGCCCTTCTTCGCGGGGGGCTCCTCCGACTCCTGCTTGATGGCCCCGACCCGCTCCCCCACGGCCAGCCCGCCCCGTCCACGGTCGCTTTTGAGGTACGGCCGCTCCCCGCGCGCCTCGCCCTTCTCGGACTCGCCGCCGTAGCCGCTGTCGGTGTCGGTGTCGCTGCCGCTCTGCTCCCCGCCCGAGGGGGCGAACGTCCGCTGGATGACGGGCACGCAGTTCTGGCCGGGGCCCTCGGAGGCCCTGGCCGGGGCGCCGGGCTGCTCCTTGAGGTCCTCGGCCGCGGGCACGGCCGCGGGGTCGGCCGCCTTGCGGGGGGCGCCGGCCTGCAGCAGCTCGGAGACCACGCGGTGCAGGTGGGCCACCAGCTGCGCGGACTTGAGGTCCCGGGCGTGCTCATGTCGGGCCAGGAACTGCAGCACCTCCCGCGCGCACGTCTGGAAGCCGGAGCAGAACAGCTCCTGGCCGGCCTCGGCGCCTCTGCCGGGCAGCTCGCCTGGACACGGAGGAGAGGGAGGCGTTCTCAGGGGGTCCGGGGTCACCTGCACACCAGCCCCCCTCCCCCCAGCGAGGCCGGGGCCGCCCCTGTTTGCTAACCCACGTGGGCGCCTGTGTTCCCAATTCCAAAAGGGTGTGACTGCCCTGAGAGCGGGAGGAACCACATGGAAACCATCCAGGGTAACGGCTACTGCCCGAGACCCATCAGAGAGAGAGAGAGACCCCCCCGTGGAACGTGTATGTGGTCCTGCCGACTCAGGGCAAGGGGCACGCTTGAGCAAGGTTCTGACCCGGAGAGTCCCCAGGCAGGACCTCGGTGTCACGGCAGCCAGCCGGGCCGAGGCCCGGGGCCACGAAACGAAAGAACGAAGGGAAGACGCCCCCTCGGGCGACCTATCCCACGACAGCCGAGCTGCCTTCGTTAGACCCACAGGCTCCTTCCAGCCTTCAGCCCTCGGCCCCCAGGAAACCAGGTGCGAACCTCTTCCTGTTCCCACGAGGGACTGGGATTCAGGGACGCCCGCCCGCCCGCCGGTGCCCGGGTCCGGGCAGGGCGGCAGCGGAGGCCGGGGGGCGGGAGGGGGCCCGTCCTCGCGGCCGCGTGGCGGAGGGAAGGCCGGGAGGGGAGGAGCAGGTGATGAAACGCCAGCAGTTTCTCTCGGTTGTGCAATCCCCCGAGATACCTCCTGGCTATTCGGGGAACCACACGAAATGCAGGAAGCACTCCCCTGTCAGCCTGCCAGGAGAGCATGCCACACACTGGGCCACGAGGAAGCCGGGGCCCAGGAAGACACGGGGCCTGCCCGCCGCCTCCTCCGGGGAACGGCCGCCAGACGCCCACGAAGCACCTTCTAGGGGCCTTCGCGTTTGAGGAGGAAGGGGGACGCTCCCGGAACCCAGAGACCCGAAGCCAAAGTGCCCGGGGGCCAGAGGCCGCCTGACTGCCAGGCCGGCCTGCCAGGTGGCACAGCTCGTTCCCCTCGGAAAGCCGGACCTCTGAGGACGCTCCCCCGGCTGCCCCCCGCAAGCACGTGCCCACGCCGAGCGAGCAGGCGCTGGGCCCGCGGCGCTGTCTGTGCCGGAGCGCCCCCCCCCCCCCCCATGCAGGCCGGCGCGGGCACTCACCGGCTTGCAGCCCGCTCTGCAGGGCCAGGATCTTCTGCTGCTGCTGGTCGATCAGGCTCGTCAGGGCCTTCACGTGCTTCAGGGTGAGCTCCAGCACCACCGCCTTCTCCAGGTGGCCCAGCGTCTGCAAGCAGAGAGCCTGCGTCAGCACCGCTCACCGCTCACCGCGCACCGTGCACAGGGCTGCCTCTGGGACAGTCCGGAGCAATGAGGAACGTCTCCACGGGGCAGGTGGGGGGGGGCTTCCCGGCGGCTGAGTTTAATTTTAAAGGCAGATAAGGAGATAGATGTTCCTGGTGACAGAACAGGCAGACGTGTGCCACTGTCCCTGGAGGCGCTGGGACGCAGCCGCGACCTTAGGAGAAGGTGCTGGTAGGTCCGTTTCTGCAGCAGCTGCGGCCGACCTCCCTCCCTCCCTCCCTCCGGACCCGGCTAACGTTTCTTGGCTGCCGCCGCCGTGTCATCCCCGGAGGCACTGGTGCGCCTGGCAGCCAAGCGGCGTTCCCTGGCACCCTCTCCCAACGCCCGGCTCACCCAGGCGTTTGCTGCCTCCCCCAATACTAATTGTCCCCCTTTCCCCGACCAAAGGCTGCCACGCTAGTAAGCTCCTGGCTGCTGCCAAGAAAGGACAGGGTGTGAAGATCACCCATCAAAACGAGTCCTCTCGTTACAGATAAAAAGGGAGAGGGAGAGGAGGTAAATAAACCGGTGGTCCACTCCACCCAGGAAAACCCCGGAACTCCGAACATCCGTCACCACAGGGGGAGGCAGGCTGGGGTGGGCGCCAACTTGGAGAAGTCCAAGCGGTTCTCACTCATGTGCATGAGGCTACCCGGAACCCCCCAGCCCTGGGCAAAGGTACCCCCAAACAGAGCCGGCCCGGCTGGGATCCAGCCCTGGGCTCTGCAGTTCCCCGCGGGGCCTGCAGGCGGCGGGTGACCCCCGCCCGCCCGCCCTCCAGGCGGGGAGCCGGCGGGGCGCCCGGCCAGCCTCTCACTGACTTACTGTAAGTTTGAGGTGCTCGGGCAGCAGGTCCTTCAGCTGGGCGATGCACTCGTTAATCCGGTCGCGCCTCTTCTTCTCGATGAGCCGGTGCGGCAGTTTGTAGGTCTCCTGCAAGGCGCGCGGGGGGCGGTGGGCGCGAGGCCGGGGCGAGCAGCCCTCTCCCCGGACCCCGGGCTCGGGAAGAGCCGGGCAGCGCGGCGGTCACACCCGGAGGGCCCCCCTCCCCCCCGCCCTCCTGCTCCAGCTGCGCGGGAGAGGCGCCCGCCCGCGCCTGGCAGACCCCCCTCCGGCCTCCGAGCGAGAAAACTTTTCTTGGAAACTCGGCGCGCGCTGGGGCTGCGGTTCCCAGGGGCGCGGGGCGAGTCTCACCTTGCTGTCCTCGCTCCGCTTTATTCCCCGCCGGGACTTGTACACCTGGTACATCTGGGCGAAATCCATCCTGCGGGAGAGGGGCGGAGGGCGGTGAGTCTGCGGGCGCCCGGGGGCTGCACAGCCCGGCGGGCAGGAACCCCCGGGTGCGTCCGGAACTGCCCCTGCCCCGAGCCGGCAGCGGTGCAGGACCGCAGGGCTGGAGTGGAGGTGCGGGGACAGGGGTGCCCGCTTACCCCGGCAGGTCCCCGGGCTCCAGTCCGGGCGCCTTGGGCAGGCAGGAGGGGGGCGGCTGCGCGCTGGGGATCCGCTCCATGGCACGGCGAGCAGGGGCCACGGTGCGCTCCGGTCTGCGGCCCCGGGGGCGCCTCGCAGCCCGCTCCGGGGGCTTCCTCTGGGGACGGACGAGCTCCTCGAAGTGCGGGGGGCTGCGGGAGGCTGCGGGGGGCTGCGGGCGCGGCGGCTGCGAGTGCTCCGGCCTCGGCTGGGGGCGTGCACGGGTCTGGGCGCTGGCTCCGGCTCCGGCTCCGCGCGCAGCCCGGCGGTGAGTGCTCCCGGTGCCTCTGCGCCGCGCAGCCAAGTGAATGAGCGGCGGGGCGGGCGGCGGGAGGAGCCGGGGGGGGGGGGGGGGAAAGGCGGGGGCCGGGCCGGCGGGGGGGGGCGCGGAGTAATGGGGAGCTGCGGGCTGGGCTCCTGGGAGCGAGTGGGTGGCTGGAGCTACGTGTTCCGCCCTGTGACTCCAGGCACGTCTGGCCGCGCCGGGGAGGGAAGGAGCGACCTGCCCGCCCTCCCCGCCGCCGTCACATGAGGCTCACGTGTCGGACAGCGCTCTCGGCTGCGGCCCCCGCCCCCGCCCGCCGGGCCCCAGGTGTCTGCGTGCGGCCGCCTTTCCCCGAAGAGGGGGTGGCGCGCCGCCCGGTCCTGCCCCGCGGGGGTGGGGGGGGAGCTATGGGGGCGCACAGAAGCTGGAGGGGAGCCGGAGGGGGGTCATGGGGGGAGCGCAGAGGTGGAGGGGAGCCGTAGGGGGGTCATGGGGAGAGCGCAGAGGTGGAGGGGAGCCGTAGGGGGGTCATGGGGGGAGCGCAGAGGTGGAGGGGAGCCGGAGGGGGGTCATGGGGGAGCGCAGAGGTGGAGGGGAGCCGGGGGTGGGGGGACCATAGGGGGAGCGCAGAGGTGGAGGGGAGCCAGGGATGGGGGGGCCATGGGGGCGCACAGAGGCTGGAGGGGAGCGGGGGGTGGGGGGGCCATGGGGGCGCACAGAGGCTGGAGGGGAGCGGGGGGTGGGGGGGGCCATGGGGGCGCACAGAGGCTGGAGGGGAGCGGGGGGTGGGGGGGCCATGGGGGCGCACAGAGGCTGGAGGGGAGCGGGGGGGCCATGGGGGCGCACAGAGGCTGGAGGGGAGCCGGGGGTGGGGGGCGCAGAGGCTGGAGGGGGGCGGGCGGGCGGCGCCGGGGGCGGACCTGCCCCAGGGAAATGAAGTAAGTTCCCGGCTCCCGGAGGGCCGGGGGAGGCGGATCCGCCGGGGCTGACTCAGGCGGGAGCGGAATATCCCCTCGCTCTCCCGCCCGCCCGGCCCTTCCTCCTCCCCCGGAGCCGCGCGGAGGGAGTCTGGGGCCGCCGTCCCCGGAGGCCGGGCTCCTTCCCGGCCCCGCCCCGCCCCGGCCCCGCGGCCAGGAACCGCCGCCGAGGGCGGGCGGGCGGATGTCACCCCATGGGAGCGGGCGGGCGGCCAGCGCGGGGGCAGCCGAGGCCGCGGGCGAGCACGCCGCGCGCACCTGACCGCGGGGAGGGCGCCCGCCCCCGCCGCTGCCTCCGGCCGGCGCCCCCGTGCGCCCGGGGCCCCCCCGCAGTCTAGCGCCCACAGGCGGCGGGCGCGGCGCCCCGCGGTCCTCTCCTGCGACCCCACCCCCGATCGCGGCTTCCGGGGCCCCGCTCCGGCTGCCGCTTACACAACCCGCGGCGCTGCCCGCGGCGGCCGGGCGGGGCTTCACGTGGCGGGGCCGCCGCGCCGCCGGGGGGGACCCAGGCCGGGCCCCTCCCCGCCGGGCCGGGCGCCGTGTGCCCGCGGAGCTGGGGGCGGGGGCCGTGGCCGTGGCCGTGGCCGGGAGCGGGCGCCCGCCCCCCGGTGCCGCGGGGGGACCGGGGCAGGAACACAGGCCGCCCCGGGGCGGGAGGCGGGACGGCGGCTGCTCGGGCTGGCAGAGAAAGATGTACAAGTTAAAAAAAATTTGTGTGCGGTTTTGCGGTTTTGTTTTTCAGTTTTATTTCCTTCGAGCGGAGGTGCCTGGGGAAGGAGGGGGCGCAGCGGGCGGCGCGGCCCCCACGTGCCCGGGCCCCGGCCCCGCGGAGCCCCCGCCGCCCCCGGAGGCCGGGCGCCGTGACCTTCCCGGCCCGAGGGGAGCGGGAGGCCGGGCCGCGGGGCCGGGAGGGCGGGCGGGGCCGCGGAAACTCCTGACTGGAGCCGCCCCGCGGGGATTCTCTGACCCCGCTGCCCGCCCGCCGCGGGAGGGACAGGACTGTCCGCCTCCCCGCGGGTCACCGCCGGCCGGGCGCAGAGGACCTGCAGCGTGTGTGCGAGTGTGCATGTTTGTGATTGTGTGTGCATGTGTGCGTGCGTGTGTGTGAGTGAGTGTGAGTGTGTGTGTGTGTGTGTGTGTGCATGTGAGAGTGTGTGTGCGCAGACTTGGCAGTGACCTTGGCGACCACACGGGGAGTGGATTTCCTCCGGGGCGTTGGAGAGCTCCCACTTCCTGTTGATGTTTCACTAGCGTCAAGCTCATTAGCAAGTGTGAGAAATGCCTGCTTTCCTGCCTGCTGACTGGCATGACCTCACCGGGGCTGCGGAGGCTCCAGCCTCCCTCCTCCCTCCTCCCTCCTCCCTCCTCCCTCCTCCCTCCTCCCTCCTCCCTCCTCCCTCCTCCCTCCTCCCTCCTCCCTCCTCCCTCCTCCCTCCTCCCTCCTCCCTCCTCCCTCCCGGAATAGGCTCTGGCTGCTGCCTTCTCAGCCTGCGCTGCAGGGAAGGCTGTGCCAACCCTTCCTGCCCCGAGCTGGGAGCAGAACCCCAGGCTGGGAGTTCACACGCACGCACGCACGCAGCCTGTCCTGGGTCTCTGCTTTCTTCTTTATTGCTTTTTCCTTTTTTTTTTTTTTTTTTTTATTGCTTTCTGAGTGGAAGGAAGTAGGAGAGAGAGAAGCATCAATGATCAGAGAACCATGGATCGGCTGCCTCCTGCACACCCTCAGTGTGGGTTTGAGCCCACAACGGGGCCTGTGTCCTGGCGGGGAATCGGATGGTGACCTGGTTTGGTTCAGAGGTCGATGCTCAACCACTGAGCCACGCCAGCCGGCCCACGTCTGCAAGGCTCCGTCCCGTGGCTCATTCTTAGACTTTGTTCAAGTTTTCAACACTTAATGCCCTCACCCGACCTGTCACTGACACTATTAACAGTCCGGCTGCTGTGGCTGGTCTGGGGCATGTCCCTCCCCGGCCCGGGCCCGATTGATGTGTTCCTCACACATAGATACTTCTCTGTCTTTCCCTCTCTCGTCCACACTCTCTAAAAATCAATGGAAAAATGTCCTCGGGTGAGGATTTAAAGAAAAGAAAAAAAGAGGGGAAATGGAGGCAGAGGGAGGGGACCTAACCTGCCTGAGGATTGGAAAGGGACCCAGGCTTGCTGGGCTCCTGGGTGTGTGCTGTTGGTCACTGTGCCACCGCTGCCTGGCTGTGCACTGCTCACCTCCAGGGGGCGCCACTCGCATTGCAGATGGCGAGAGCTCCCCCTGGAGGTGTGCGATGGAGCGGGAGCCGCGGTGCCAGGCGCTCCTGACGCTCCAGAGCCCTCTCTTCCTCTCCCAATTGTGGAGAGAGAGTATTTTGTACCAGGAGAGGGAGGACAGACGTTCCTTCCCTAGCGGGGCTCAGCGTTTCGGGGGGACGGACACCAGGGGTTCCTGGTACAGCCCCCTGCACAAAACCCCACCTTTCTTGCTCAGAGTCATGTTTATGCAACCTCCAATTTTTTCTAACCCTTAACTTAATGGAGGTTTTGTTGATGGACTCAGAGGATATAGCTCATCTTGGGTACCCATCTGGTGATTTTGAATTTATGTATTTATTTTATTTCTTTTAAAAAATATATCTTGTTGATTTTTTACAGAGAGGAAGAGAGAGGGACAGAGAGTTAGAAACATCGATGAGGGAGAGAAACATGGGCTAGCTGCCTCCTGCACACCCCCCACCTGGGATGTGCTCACAACCAAGGCACATGCCCTTGACCGGAATCGAACCCGGGACCCTTCAGTCCGCAGGCCGACGCTCTATCCACTGAGCCACACCGGTTTCGGCGTGATTTTGGATTTAACTCGCTCTGTTTTTTCTAGTCTTGGGCGATGCAAGGCACTATCATTGATTTCAAACCTCTCCTCTGTTATTCGTGTTGAGAGCTATTTTTTTTCTCTCTCTCAAAGCACTATTTTCACAGTATCTCACAATATTCCCCAATATTTGCTTTTTTATTTTTGCTTTAGTATCGTTCAGGTCAAAATATGTCCTAATAGCCTCTGTGATTTTTCTTCGAATCAAAGGTTTTTAGAGGAGTGTTGTTTAATTTCCAAATATTTGCGCATTTTTAACCCTCTTCCTTTTGAAAAGATGGTGCAGTCACAGAAAGTTCCAAAAATAATAGAGAGACGCTCCCCACGTCCTCGCCCCCGTGTTCCTCGGTGGGGCCCGGATGGCGGTAACGCACACTCGGCGGTCACAGACGCCCTCAGACCCACTCGCTCTGCAGGAACTCGCTGGCGGGTGCATTGCATAACCATAACCCTGCGCTTTTATGACATGTGCCCATTACCGTACCCGCCGCCACCGTCACAGCAGCGCTGTCCTCACTGTGAAGTCCCGGCTACACCTTCCCAGCCACACCCGCCCGCCCGCCCGCCCGCCCCGCCCCCGCGGCCAGCCAACCTCTCACCCGTCCTCCCCTTCCAGGATATTCTCGTTCAAAGAATGTTATCTAAGTGGAAGCTCAGAGCGCGTAACCTTTGAGACGGATTTTTTTTTTCTCCCCGCTCAGCATAATCTCTTGAGATCCATCCACGTGGCGGTGTCTCAATGGCAAGTTTCTTTCCGACGATGAGTAATATTCTTCCATGAGAGACGGGCCGGTGTTGCTTTAGCCACGTACCCACTGAGGGCCAGCTGAGCAGTTCCCCGCGCTGGCTGGAAATAAACCTCCTGGGAACAGGAGGGCCCACGTTTCGTGTGTGGACATGCGTGTTCTCCTCCAGGAGAGGTGCCCGGGAGTGTAAGTCCTGGGTCCCTACAGTAACGCATGGTCAGTTTTTCTAGGAAACTGACCAGTCCTTAGCCTTCGGTGCTCCCAGGTGAACGTGTGAGAGGCCGTGTCTCTGTATCCCTGCCAGCCTTGGGTGTTGCCACTATTTTTTTTTTTTTTTAATTAATTTTGTACAGAGAGGAAGGGAGAGAGATAGAGAGCTAGAAACGTCGATGAGAGAGGAACATTGACCAGCTGTCTCTTGCACACCCCTTACTGGGGATGTGTCCGCAACC